TATATCTGATAAGCTCAATACTAAAAATAGTCTCTTTCAGTCACAATAATTTGTTCATGCTTACATTTCAGGCATTTGATTTCTTGCAAATGTGCAATAATTGCTCAAATAGAAGTTGACCCTGCACATATAAAGATGTTCTACAACAAAATTTTGTAATACTTTCCAAATATGTTAAAAGTTATTGAAGGTGCTAAGGCAATGGGAATCATTGGAATATTCACAAATTTACAGGACTAGTTTAAAGGTTTATATATATAGAACCTGCTTCTTCAGCTGCAGAAGTGCAAATGATAAAAGAGATGCCTGTGTTCAGGTGATAATGATAAGACAGGGTTGCCATGCTACCTGGAAAACCTGAAAAAGTCAGGGAATTCGGAAATTGACCAAAAAATTCAGGGAAAAGTCGGAATTTAAGTGTTTTAGTCAAAATCTGGAAAAGTCAGGGAATTTCATACAACGATCCTGCCAAAAAAGGTGAGTTTTGTGCCGACATTGGAAGAGATAACTTTTTTGGTTAATTGTGTATCACGTGAGTGTAATTTGGGCAGCTGGCATAGAGCCAATTTGATTGTCTTTTAGAAAGGCAAAGCAAGTTTCCCGCAACGTTTGGTTTCCAGTAACCTCGAGAATCGCATGTGCAGTGCATGAACTAAAGAAAGTACCTGTTCTCGTATAAAACAAAATGGGTTTAATCCTAGTATACGGTACATGAAGGTTAGAATCAAAGAATATGTATTATAAAGAAAGAAAGACGTAACTCTGTTCCATCATAGAGGGAAACAGCTGTGCATGCACGATATATCTGTTGCCAAAGCTGGAAACCGGTGTCGAAGTTCGAAGGTCACGTTATCAAGAGTTCATAAAATGAATATCGTTTAAAATTTCTTTAAACTCTAAAGGAAAAGAAAATATTTTTTGGCGCAAGTAAATTAATTCATGGATTAGTTATTTAAAGGTTTAAAAAAAAAAATACGAAAACCCGTTTTTAAAATTTTTGCCAAAAATCCAAGAAAAAATGTTCTTTGATAAAACGTTTCTTCTTGGATTTTTCGCAATAATTTAAAAACGGATTTTCGTAGTTTTCTTTTTTTGTCAAAGAATGTTTCTTCTTAACACGTGTTTCTCAATTTCCTGTACACATCGTGGAGAGGGAAATTCTGCCCGCCAGGTTACGTCGCCAAATCCCTTGGCAAAATTTCCCTCCGCTTTCTAGTGGCATAATAGCATTTATGTGTATGAAACCTTTTCTACTTTACATAGACGTTCTTTGGTTAGAATAATCTCCATGTATGGTACAGCGGGATTTGGCAACATGATGATGAGCAGTAAATGGCTCATTTTGTTCTTGGCGACAATTTTCAAAATCGTGCGAAGGCCGTAATAACGTATACTAGGATTTTACCGCAAAATCTTTTTAAACCTTTTTTTTCTTTTCTTTTTAATAACTACCTTGTCATTTTGCAGTAAAATAAAAAAATAGTAATCAGTCATCTAGGCTATCCGTGTAATATAACTATATTCGCTAAAATATCGTTGACTATTTTAATTCAATTTTTAAGTAATTTTTTTTATGTTAGTCATATCATTTAATGTTGCTTCTTTCCTCTAAATTTATTTATCATTAGTAAATAATATTTCCAAATTTTAGGAAATTTTCTCTGGCACAATCTTGAAATTAATTCTAGCAGTATGATGACATACCATCACGAAATTTAATGCACTTATTTTTTCCTTATGTATGCTGCGAAATAAATATAAATACCTCAATTTATTAAAAAAATATCATTAAATAGATTTCTTTCTTTCGCTTAGCTGCAGAATGTCTGAAAAAAAAAAGCCTTATTTTATTCCAGATTGGGCAGATTCTAATCTCAATCTTTAGTGGAGAAAACAACTTCTATTATATTTGTGTTTTCAAGTGTTAAGGTGCCTTTTAAAAAGACACCTCACACAAATTAAATTTACCTAAAATCTAACCTATTTAGCATTGCGTTGTGATTTATAAGAACCGGATTAGCCTTGTGTTGAACTGGTGATGATCATGAGTAATAATTAAATAAAACGTACATTTGTTATCCAATGTATATATCTTAAATTTTATTAAGTTTTTTAAGCGGAAAAGTAAACAAAATTATCAAAGTGTACCAAGAATAATTAAGAATAAATGTCCGCTGGGATTTATGGAATAATTAAGAGAATTTGCTACACAATACAAGTAATACCATAATTAATTTACCTCTTAGCACAGCCAACATTACACGGATAGACTGGAATTTTCTCGAAACATACCTGGAAAACTTCGAAATGTCAGGGAATTTCATTCTCCTGTTTGAGTGGCAACCCTGATAAGAGGAAGGATGTCAAGCTACTAATGCCATCGTATTTCTTTTTATCATTATCCCCTAATCACAGGCTTCTCTTTTGTCATTTGCACCTTCAAAATTTGTTCTGCAAACTTATAAATATTACACCTATTCTTGTTGTTTTATCACCCTCAAATAACTGCTATTAGGCACATTATTTCACCTCAGATATTAAAAGTATTCTACAAGAAAGGTATTTTGATGGTCTAAATACCATATTTTGAGCGCAAACTAAGTATATATGTTTTCTTTCAAATTAAAAGATCTAGCAATAAATGATAAATTATCTTGCTGTACTTTTAAATGCTAAGACTGCACACATAAAATAGACATGGAAATATATTTCAAGGGGGCATATATATATAAGTAAATAAGGTAAAATTGGACTTTAATTCTTATCTATCACTGGTTAGATTATAAATAGAAATTTTAATTATTAATATTAATTTTGATTATCTGCTAGGAAACAAAGTATAAATACTAATGAAATGGGAGATTTTTTTAAAAGTTAAATCTTAGTAAACGCTTAAGAACTACAGTAAAACTCCGGAAAGCAAAATGTGAAAATGCACTAAATTAATAAAATTCAAATAATAAAAATACATGAATAATTACTGCTAATACCATATAAAGATCCTGACTTTTCAAGGGGACTTAATCTCTCTCCATGAAATCATCAATAACTGGAATGATTTGTTTTTGTCTCTTTAGTATTTTTGAATAAAACTTTTATACAAAATGGAAAATAATAATAATATTTGAAATCTATGATTTAAAAAAATACAAAAGAAATTTCCTTATGTGATGTAAGACAACCTAAAGGTAGTATACCACAGAACAACTATATTAAACACAAAATAAATATAAAGCATTACTAAATTGAAGTAAATAATTGAATTACTATATATATAAATTATATTATTTCTGATAAATGAATACTATGATAAAAATGATTCAAGCGGATACCGTACAGTAACTTTTTCACAGTGAAGTCGCCCGAAACGGCTGAGAATTTAGATATTGGTAGAATGCCCGAGTAAATTTTCTACCTGATGCTTTCCTGCATTTTGTTGGTGCATGGCTCATTGGTTTTGGAAGTTGTTAAATGACATGCAAATTGTTCTTTTGAAGCGACTAAACATAGCTCTGTTATTTGAATGCTCTATCCCTCACCTTTGTTTAGCATCAACGTTTAACTATTGATGCTCGCAGTTGGATTCGTGTCCGAAGGGAAAATTGCACAAAGATTCCTAAAAGAGAGGTGATTGCTTCATTTAATTAGGTTATCACTAACAGTGTAGCATTCTACTTGGAAGAAAAAACACATTCCAACAAAAATTGGTATTATACGGGCATCTCAGACATTTGAGAGAAACGGAGTTTGGTCTCTACCAATGCAAGAGTTAAATGTACAAACCAAAATATTCCCATTAGTACTAAAATGATTTAGTTAATGTAATGTAATTTTATGGCATCATATTATAAATACAAAAACACATGTTGCATGAAATAAATGGTGGTCAATAATTATGAGCCCCCCATTTTGTAGAAAATTCACACTACCCTTATTTAGTTAAAGTAAGGAATTACACAATATATTAATGAAAACTCTAAAAAAAATAAACACTTATAATGCAGGGAGTCATAAAATAGCAGTAAATTAGCAAAGAATTTTTAAATCTAGAAAGCAGAGCTATATGAACATCTGCAGCAGCAGTGAGACCAGTCTCTTTCTGATCAGCAGTTTAATTGCTACAAGTAAAAATAATATTCAACACGTTTTCCTTTTATTACACAACTTTTAAAAGTTGATACTTGATTATTTTCAGATAACATGACCAACGAATTACTTCAGTATGAAATACAATGAAAACTTATTATTTAGTATCACAGCAATTAAATTCATAAGATGATTAGATGTCAAGACGATCCGTAAGAACATAATTAGTAACAATATTCTTTCCGATCATGTTCTCAGAGGCAACCTGCTTCGAAAGAAGACAAAATCATTTGGATTCATGGATAGCCATTTTAGAATGATTTACTATATAAAGCAAGTCAGAAGATTTTTTTTTTTTTGAAATTGTTTATCTTCACTGCAGTATATTCATAAGGCACACATAGATATAGATAATTTTATCTGGATTAAAAAAATCTGAATTGATTTATTTTGAATAATTTGGAAGGAAGCAAATCAAAATTACTTTTGAAATTGTTCATCATCGATGCAGCACAGTATGGGCAGATTAAAACAGGAATAAATACTACAAGTAAAAATGCAGCACAAAAATTATCAATAGGTATAAATAAATGCTTTATATATAATATATATATTTGGAAATTTAACTTTTAAGCACAGGACTGTGTGCTCTTTCTCTTACTTGCACACACACACACAAAACAAGAATTGGAAAAAAAAAAAAAAAAAATTAACCAGCATTAAGCTTTTAAAACTCTTCACCACACTTAAAAAAAACATAACAAAAATGAAGCAAACCTGCAGAAAACCAAAACAATTACTGCAGTAATAAATGAACACAAATATATCACACTTTAATGAAAACAAGAAACTTACATTTAGCAAAAGAACAAGATTGTTAGAGAAATAAAAATAATAAATTCAAAATTACTAACCTTGTCATTAATTTCTTTCAAAATTCTCACTTCTTTATATAAATTATGTATCTCCCTGCAGGTACAACATACACTTCGACACTTGCAAAGCTTCTCCTGACTCTCTGCTGTTGAACAGCCATGGAAAGAAAAACTTTGTGGTGTAGATTTTATTGAGCTCTTTGAAGACCTTTCAGTATATGGGAGAACAGGGTCACTGTGATGGCGCCTATGATAGTCTCTTGGAAATGATTTTAAAAAACTGGAATTATTTCTGTTTTGTACTATTAATTCATTATTATTGCATATACTGCTATCAAGGCAATCTGATGATATATTCTTTAACTCTGAAGAAATTCTATCTCTCTGCATTACTCCTTTTATATGCTGCAATTCTTCTTTGGGAATCAATATTTTATTTTCACAATAATCTTCTTCGGCACTTTTGCCAAGACTAGCATTATGTCTGATGAAAGATTTGTCTGTTAAAGAAGAATCCTCAAAAACATTTTTTAACAGAGACGGATAAATTAAAGAATTCTTTGTTAATGGAATTTCAGAGGCACATTGTTCACAACCAGCACTCCAGTTAGCAGGTAATGATCCACAGTCTGATTTATCGCACATCTTAGGCGAGACATCCTTTCTACATGTCTGATTCTCATCTATGAAATTCTTTTTTGTAGAGGGGAAAGTACCTACAAATTTAAATATAGTGTTAAGAATCAATGACAAGGAAAATAAAAATTATAAATGGGAAAAAAAAGAGAAAGAAAAAATTCACAAAAAGTGACTAGATGTACCATTTTAAGATAAAAATATTTATTAATATTTTATAAGCTTTTATTAACTTAGAAAATCACAACTCATGTAGTAGGGGTAGCTAGTCTTTAAATACATCAGTCAGCATGCCAAATACGAGAGAATTATTGGTTACCCATCATATTTTTACATATGACAGACACCGAAACACATCAGTATGACCTTATTACCATGGCTTTTTAACAGCAGTTACTGATTTTTTCAATATTTCACTATAAATAAGAATATACACAGAAACTGTTTTGCAAAATTTAAGCTCTGAAACCTGATTTTGAACTTTTAATAAACTTCAGTGTTATTAAATCAAACATGAAAATTTTAGGAGTGATCATTAATTACTCGATAAATTAGTGGGCCCCTTGTTATAGCTTCTTTTTAGTTGATTTTCCAGTGTTGTATGTATATGGTCATTTTCACTACAGGCTTGTGATCATGGGTTTCAAGTAATTTTTCTTTGGTGTGAAAGCAGCTTTCATATGTGAGGAAATTTATCTATAAGTGAGCTATAAGAATAAAGTGACCCAACAATGAAAAGAAGAGCAAATCGAACGTTCTTGAAATGAAAAACTTTGCTGACATGCAAATTAGTCTTTTTTTAAATAAACATATACAGTACAAAATCCAATATCTGGAATGATCTAAAATCTGGCAATTAAAGACACCAAAAAAAATTTTTCATCTGGAAATTTTTTTATGCTTTACGAATGCACATTTGATTTTATCCCGCATATGAAAATGTGGAGAATAACGATTCTTCATTTCATTTCAGCACTAAATTTAATACCTTATTATTGAAGAAACAATCATTTTAGCATAAATTTCTGTGATTAATAATTTGGCTCCATAGCTGCGTATCAGCTTGGCATCTATCTCAAACCGAAACATTCTACATAGAAACATTGTTGATTTTTAGAACTCCTAATATTTTATATCCCCAACGCCAACCTGTTGAATCATTATTTATTATATTTTGCATTTATCATTGCATGACAACTTGAGTAATGACTCATGCAGCAACACCTAAATAATTTTTTTACATTAGTAATTCAATAACAAAGAGTAGGGGATTATAGATTTTGTTAGTGATACTCATAGGCAAAAAGATTACATTTAGTGCTATTTGAATTAAGAATAACTTATTTTTTATTCACATGAAACCAGAACCGGTGCCAGAGCTAACATGATCGCACTAGGCAGCAGAATTTAGGGAAGGCAAATTTTTTGGAATTTAGAGAAGCATCATGTAACGAAATTAAGGGATGATAATATTTTTTTAATCCAGGGAAAGCACTGGGACCCAAAATTAAGGGAAGACAAAAATTTAGAACTTAGGGAGGCACATAGTAGCAGAATTTAGGACCAGCAGAGACTGCATCAGCTAGCAAAAGCGCCAGCCCTCAATAAGCTTAAGCATAAGTGGGAATTTATTTACTCAAGACTCAGATAAGCCAAGATAAGCATGTGCACGAAGTAGAGGCAAGTATAATAAATAAGTAAATTAATACAATTCAGGCTTAACTGTCTCAGCGCACAATAGAAGCAAGACAAAATTTAATGGAATATTGTGTTTCATCGTCAATCTCATGCTACATAGTCTCTAGCATGATATGTATAGCCTGTTAAGCTACACTAAAAATATTCTTTAACGATTCCAAAGCATTACAGTAAATATAGCAAGACTGTGCTGTTCCTTAAATTAATGATTTGCTCCAGCATATTATTTTTTGCAGGCTGTTATACGAGGTCAATCTCCCAAAAAAGGTCTCCTATATTTTTAGGTATACAAAGAACCGTTTATTTTCTATAATTACTACATCACTTTAAAGATTGAAGAATGCTTTATTTTTCAACATAATCGCCATTTCGGTCAATGCATTTTTGTAGACGCTGTGGCAGTTTTACAATGCCCATGTCATACCAGCTTGCCGCTATGCCCTTTAGGAAGCGTTGAACCTCATCTGGAAACCTCAGGAACCAAAATGCAGAGAGCATCCAGAGTGATCCTCCGATCTTTATGCATGAGTTCCTCAACTTTCGTGATTGTCTCATCTGCAATTGACGGCCTCCTGCTCTTTTCTTCGTCATGAATTTCAGTACGACCGGCTGTAAACTCTCTACACCCCTTGCGAACGTTTTTGACATCCATGCATGACTGTCCATACACTTCCGTCAATAGGTGGTGAATTTCAACAGGTGTAACGCCTTTTGCGTTCAAAAATCGAATAACTGCGTGCACTTCACACTCGGCGGTAACATTTATCGGGAGCTCCATTTCGAATGGCTGCCAAGCCAAGACTGAGCATCCGAGCGAAGTGCCTGCGTGCTTACGTGGTAGCGGAGAAGGCACCACTCACAACAGTGTTGCCAACAACCATATTAAAACTTTCTCTACATCCCCAAAAAATAGGAGACTTTTTTTGGGGGATTGCCCTCGTAATTACAGCAATTAACTCAAGTTTGAACTTTTAATTATGTTTATGTCAAAAAGAGTTTCTAATTCTGAAACTGCAAAAAGATCGACAAAGCGAAAGCATGCTTTGATGTCCATTAAACAAAACTAGAATTGCTGCAAAAAATGGATATAGGTATATATCCATCTCCAATTATGCAAGGAGTAAGGCATTGGAAAGTCAACTGTATATGACATAACAGAAAAAGGAACTTTGAATTTTTTGTGGATTCTGACATCCCACTTGTAATGCATAACAGAAAAATTATTCACCAAGCGAAAAGTGACGATAAGGACAAAGTGATGAATGAATGATCAGAGACGTAGCAAGGACATGCCATTGGCAGGTCCAGTGCTAATGGCTGAAGCCAAAATATTTCATGAAGAAATTAAAAACTGAGTGCACATATTGGATGGTTAACCAAATTTTAAAATCGTCGTGGTATAATGCAATTAAAATTTTAGGTGAAAAAGCTTCAGCTGATATTCTTCAGCAGATAAGCTGCTGAACTATTTGAAGATGAATTCAATTGAACTCATTAATAGTGAAACTTTACTTCCAGGACAAATTTACAACACTGATGAAACTGATCTCTTCTTGATATGTGTACTGCGAAATACTTTGGCAACCTCTACAGAAAAGATTCCAACTGGCATCGAAGATTCCAAAGCTAGAATAACAATTTTAGAATGCACAAATGCTGTAGGAATGCGCAAGTGTAAAGTTTTCGTAGTTGGAAAAAATACACTACTTTGACAGGGTTGCCACGCTACCTGGAAAACCGGAAAAAGTCAGGGAATTCGGAAATTGACCAAAAAATTCAGGGAAAAGTCAGGAAATTTAAGTATTTTAGTCGAAAATCTGGAAAAGTTAGGGAATTTCATACAACGATCCCGCCAAAAAAAGCGAGTTTTGCGCCGACATCGGAAGAGATCACTTTTTGGCGAATTGTGTATCACGTGAGTGTCATTCGGGCAGCTGGCATAGAGCCAATTTTCGCAGCTCCAATTTGATTGTCTTTTTAGAAAGGCAAGCAAGTTTCCCGCAACTTTTGGTTTCCAGTAACCTCAAGAATCGCATGTGCAGTGCATGAACTAACGAAAGTACCTGTTCTTGTATAAAACAAAATGGGTTTAATCCTAGTATATGGTACCATGAAGGTTAGAATTAAAAAAATATGTATTGTAAAGAAGGAAAACCTCTCTGCAACAGACGCGGCTCGGTTCCATCATAGCGGGAAACAGCTGTGCATGTGCGATATAGTATCTGTCGCCAAAGCTCGAAACCGGTGTCGAAGTTCGAAGGTCACGTTATCAAGAGTTCATAAAATGAATATCATTTAAAATGTCTTTAAACTCTAAAGGAAAAGAAAATATTTTTTGGCGCAAGTAAATTAATTCATGGATTAGTTATTTTGACGGGGGGGGGGAATCTACGAAAATCCATTTTTAAAATTATTGCGAAAAATCCAAGAAAAAACATTCTTTGATAAAACGTTTCTTCTTGGATTTTTCGCAATATTTTAAAAACGGATTTTCATACTTTTCTTTTTTGTCACAGAACGTTTCTTCTTAAAAGTTTTTCAATTTCCTGTACACATCTGTAAAAATTCTGTTGGTAAAGCGGAAATTTGGCCTACAAATTCTGATTGGTCAGCGGTCACTTGGCGACAATTTTCAAAATTGCTAAGGCAAGTTTTACCGCAAAATCTTTTTTTTCTTGTCTTTTCCCTTTTTAATAAATACCTTGTCATTTGCAGTAAAAAAAATAGTAATCAATCATCTAGGATATAACCATATGTAACTATATTCGCTAAATATCATTGATTATTCTAATTAAATTTTTAAGTATTTTTCTTTTAGTTTATGTTATTCATATCATTAAATGTTGATTCTTCCTTTAAATTTATTTATCATTATTAATAATTTTCCAATTTTAATGTTAGAAATTTTCTCTGGCACAATCCTGAAATTAATTCTAGCAGTATGATGACATACCATCACGAAATTTAATGCACTTATTTTTACCTTATGTATGCTGCAAAATAAATATAAATACCTCAATTTATTAAAAACATATCATTAAATAGATTTCTTTCTTTCGATGAGCTGCAGAATGTCTGCAAAAAAAGCCTTATTTTATTCCAGATTGGGCAGATTCTAATCTCAATCTTTAGTGGAGAAAACAACTCCTATTATATTTGTGTTTTCAAAGTGTTAAGGTGCCTTTTAAAAAGACACCTCACACAAATTAAATTTACCTAAAATCTAACCTAACTATTTAGCATTGTGTTGTGATTTATAAGAACCGGATTAGCCTCGTGTTGAACTGGGGATGATCATGAGTAATAATTAAATAAAACGTACAGTTGTTATCCAATGTATATATCTTACATTTTATTAAGTTTTTTAAGCGGAAAAGTAAAC